TGACATAAAATGAAACTAGGTAAAAGTATTTATCTCTGGAGCCAGAAGGTCTGGCGCTCTAGTTTCAGGATTTCCCGAATAATTAGGGACACCCTTCAGTCTCTCACTGAAATAGTAATAACAACGGTATTGACGACTCTAAAAATAACAATTGAGATCGATGTCGTTTTATTTTTTATGTTCGTTTAAAATTCTACGTTGTTTTACTTAGTTTATAATTTATGTTGTTGATATTTACGTTACTGGAGATTCCGTTTGATCTTTTTTTATATGTTTTCTTTAACTTTAACGTTTCCTATAAAAGTAGCCATCACTTTAATACGAAATTATTTCGGAGTACTTTAATAGATCTAAATAAATTAAATCGCTAGGAAGATCTTATCTTCGAAAGTAAAAATATGAACATGACGATAGAATCATATCAGTCAAATGTTATTAGAAACTCATTTAATTGAATTGGAATAATTAATTAATTTGGCAATTTAAAATTAATTTAATAAAATTGAAACCAAAATATAGTACAATTAGTTGCTATTACTTGAATTAAATTACGTTTTTTTATTTCGTTTTTTATCTGGAAGTGGTAAAAGACCTTACAAATTAGAGTACCGCAGGTATGCGTAAATAAAAAATTGCATAACTCGGTGTTTATGGTTTGCGGTTTTACGTTTTTTTAATCTTCTATTTGTGGATTGGAAATTACATGACCCCATAATGTTGACTTTATGTTATTGTGGAACTATTTTTAAATTAAAATGTGTAAAAAAAAATCATTAATAAAACTCTTTACCGATATGAGTAATCAACATTTTTACGTAATTAGTAAAATACGAAAACATTCTGTAAACCGTACAATCAAACCTTCATCCACAGATTTTACAGTTTTTGCTTATCGCTATCAGAAACTCTGAACTCCAATTTCACGAAACGAAATCGAAATCTTCGAATTTCGACAGCGATAATTCTAGATGTCTATATTTAAAATTGACGCTCTCTTCCCGTGATTCAGTTATCACTACCTCCTTGTACAGATTTATCAAGACCTTGATAGCTTCTAGGAACCCGTTTGAGGTTTAATGTTCCACGCATATCCATATGTATGTCCGATATTGTTCTTTGTCAGGCGATTATTATATAATCCGTAAGTGACTTGCGAGTATATCGAATGACAAGCGGCTGATCTAGACACAACTGATAAGTGATTTGTGGTAAGGTACGATGTACAGGGTGTGACATAAACGTTGGGAAATCCACAAGAAGTGACGCCACCTATAATAATAAAAAAATGCTTTTCCTTTAAATTCGTGGATCTCAGCTACACACTCTCCGTACTTGTAATGAATTTTCGCAATTTTCACTTGCTCATTCGTCGTCATTTGTCTAATTTCGACGTGTTTACTACAACATCTAACCCTGCATAATGCTGCCAACTCTTTGGCATGAAAATGGCGCTCAATTCAAATTTTGCGTTATTTTTGAGATACCCTTTAGTAAGAAAATTAAAATTCCTTAACAGAGACTGCCAATAGAACATTTTAAATTACAATCAAATTAAATGCAGTAACTTATCTTGATGAGGGTAAAGTTTATTGAAACTAAGACAAATGGCAGTTTTAACAATAACATATCACATAGAAAGGTAAACAAGTATAGTGTTTTGTTTATTTTTTCTCCGATTAATTTAATGTTAAGTTAAACGGCTTTTTTTATTTATTGTTTTATTTGCAGCTGAAAAAAATCTTTCAGCACTAAACTCACAGATATGACCATCACAATGTACAATTTGAGAATGTTAATGTCAAAAAAACGGTGATATTTTTTAATAGGTCGCTTAATTACGTCTTTAAGATTACGATCAGCATCATATTTGGTTGAAAATTAACGCCTGTACAGAGGCTTAAAGTTTTTTGGAGCCTCCGTTATGAACAAATTGAATTGTGCGAAAACAAATTAAAAAATGGGCACTTTTCTTGTTTTTTGCAATAACTTTTTTGTTTATTAACCGATTTTAATTTAACAAGTCTCATTTTGTAGATAATTTTATTCCCTACAAGTTGTCTGCGAGTCATTTTTCGCTAAAATTGATGGTTTTCCCTGCAAAGTGAAAAAACTGTTTTCCTCACTTATTTGTTTAAACAGAAAAGTTAGCTATTAAAATTTTTTGACTCACGAGATGAGAGATGTCTTGTATTATGTTCCTTCAGACAATTTTACAATAATATCGCGGATAGGAATTTTTTCGAGTTTATCTTTTTTTTTTGCTAATTTTCCTGGTCTATACGTATGTAATTTATTTAGTCAGTTCCTGACTTAACCTACAGTCTGTTGACCCTTCCGAATATGGAATGGTATTAGAATGCTTACGAAATCGTTTTAAACATCGAGCGGTTTCAGCAAATTATAGATTTGAAATTGTAATAGCACCTACCTCGTCTGTTTGTAATTACAGAAAATAATTAGCTACAAAAAAGTTGTGTCTGTTCGCTAGTAGGTGATTAGGTGTTAGTAATTATATAATATCGAAAGCAAGGACAAAATGGATAGTCAAAATGATATTTGAAAAAATATTTTGTGAGCGTCATCGTATGGTAAATGTTCGGTAGTTCCCTGCAAACTTTGCTCGAATTAAGGTGGTAATTTTTTGGTATTGTTAATATTTTATGTATAAAAGTTATGAATTTCAGTTCAACGTTAAAGGCGTTAAATTTCTTATAATATTGTGAAGTGGAAAACCTAGAATCAACAATTTTTTCTTTATCAGTAAATATTATTATAAATTCAACAACTGTTTTGTCGAAAGGCATCTTAGTATTCATGTATTTTAAATGATCGAGATTGTGTTCTTAGAAAGTAATGAAATATTCCTTCCAATGTCCATCAATTCCAGTCAAAACAAATCTGTCGAACTCAAATAATATTTACTTGTTTTTGTTTGTATATTATATATTTAAAGAAACAGTACGTAAACTTATTTTGTTGAAATGGAAATGGGTTCTAGCAGTTATATTCAACCAATCCAACTGACACTTTTTTATATAAAAAAACATTTGCGGAATTTTAAATCTTAAATGAACCATTTTTGTGACAAATTTTAGTTTTTTCACTCTTCTGATTGTTATCAACTTTCAAGTTTCACACTGTATCTTGAAAACGAAGCCTTACCGGACCTATGATTATACAGGGTGTTAAAAAAGTTTGGAACTCCCCTCTATCTCAGAAAATACTGCTCAAACAAAAAATTGATTAAGACAAAAGTTGCAGGGTTTTGAGTGAGCAATCCAACGGTAACCTTGACCATTACCCTCAAGGTCATTTAGAGGTCAAGTTGAAAATTTTAAATGGAACCGTATACTTTTGACCCCGGAAATTGTAAGAGCGGATAATTTTACGTTGTAACCTTGACCACGACATTCAAGGTCATTTAGAGGTCAACCTGACAATTTTTAATGGAACCGTATATTTTTGGCCCCGATACGTATCTAATATTTTGGACTAAAAATTTGATTCAAAAAGTTTTTAAATTGACCTGTAAACGGCCTCCAAGTTACAGTCAAGGTCACCGTTCGATTGCTCACTTTTAACCCTAACATCTCGGTAATTTTTCCACTGATGAGAACCTTCGGAGACAGGCTGTTGGAAATACTGTGACTATTTCCGGGGTCAAAAATATACGGTTCCATTTAAAAGTTTCAACTTGACCTCTAAATGACCTTCAAGGTCACCGTTGGACTGCTCACTCAAAACCCTGCAACTTTCCAAACTTTTTGAACACTCTGTATGAATAAACTTTTCGTCTTAGAATTAATCAAGGAATCACACCTTGAAGTTTGGCCACTTACATAAAATAACACCCTGTATAAACTAATTTGTCCCTGAAAAACTCGAAAAAAATGTTTCAAACAAAATGTGTTGGATTTTGAATGATAAATTAGATGGTGACCTAGCAGTGTTTTAAATTTCAACCAATAGTTTTAGTTGGATACATCTATTAAATTCTGTTACTAAAAATTAGTTTGCCCTCTAAACGACCTGCAAAAACATCCTGTTTTCATGTTTTTTGTCCCAGACTCAGATATAACCTTGGGCGCTGTAACGGCTGCTGGCACAAAATACGACGTATTCAATTTGATATTAAGTTGACCTTCGTTTGACCTTGAACGTGTGGTGAAGGTCAAATCCGGGATCATCGTCTAATTGGTCAGTCAAAATCAGTCAGTTATTGTCTAATTTGTCAGTCAAAATTTAGAGAAAAATTAGTTTGACCTTTATATGACCCGCAATGACATATTTGAAAAATTTTCTGACCCTACAGTCTTACGCAAAATGTGTCGCTCCTCAATTGCTAGTGTAAAAAATAGAGATTGGTTTAGTATTTTTAGGTTGGCCTTGGTTTGATCTTGAATCTTAAGGTTAAGGTTAGATCCAAGGTCATTATTAGGAACACGGGTAATCTAAAGAAATTGCTAATAGAAAACAGAGGAAATTTAACAAAAATAAAACTTAGATGAAATATATAATAGAGATTTGCTAAAGAAATATGTTCACCTCGAACGAACATGTGTTTCGGGGGAGATAACCAAAACAGGATACGTTTCTGTGACCTTACTCGCATGCACCACTTACGTGCACACACATTTAACAATTTAGCACGTTAAATGCAACACTCGCACATTTAAAATTCCTTGAAAATACCTTTTGCGCAAAGTGGCACTCGAGAATCATCAGATTGATTGCCAGGGCTCCGTTATCGTCTCGGCAACAAACCTGCGTGAAATCGCCACTATTGCAATTATCTATCGCCTGGTATTATTATCTGCGGTATTGATAGCACCCAAAACGTGTCGGTTAGTAAACGGGATTAGCTCGAATTAACGATACCGCGTCGGCGAGACCCGAACCCGCCGTTATTTTCGTTATTGAATCCATGCGCGAGGTATTAAATGACAGATACGGTGGTGTGGGAGACGGTTGTGTTAATTTTTTTTTATTTTTTGTTGTAGATTGCCTAACCAGCTCAGTCGCAGCGGTTTTTTTAAGTGTACAATTGAGGGTGAGACAAGAAGATGGATCCAATCAGGTGTGTATTTTGATAATTTAATAATATATTGCCTAAAATTCGTTATTGTCACCTGAAGGAATGTAGGGGTCATATATTACATTTTATACGGTTGTGTGAGGTCGATAATTCATATTTTTCGATAAAAAATTGCCTTCTGTGAAATATAAAAAAATAATTGAACGTCACATTATAATCGGTCTTCCTGTATAGAATTTAATACAAATACAGTGGTATAATACCATAGATATCTTCGTTGGCATGTTTCTAGTACCTAGAATATAATTTTTTTCGCCATAGTTTATTTAATATTTTTCAAATGTTTTTCAAGTTAAAAGTACCACTTTTCTACATAATCTGTCTTTTATAAGAATCTAGTTAAAAAGTCAGTTAATAAGAACATCGGTCATATTAATTTTTAACAATGTGTACGGTCCGCACAATATTTGTTGAGATTGAATTGTAAGAAAAGAATAAGCCAATAAAGTTCTATTATCGGAACTGCTGTAACAATTTACCGCGGTAGGAGCGTGGTGAAGGGTACTCCGCCAATGTCTTTCTACCTCGGGTGTCGAATGCGGTTAATTTCGATAAAGTGGCGCAGGGTCTTAGAATTCTCAACAAATGTCGTACGGACTTAAAATTAACAAATGCCTACTCCTATGCCGCTGTATTTGTAAAAAAAATATTGCACTAATTATCTCTTACTTCGGTTCAAGTGTCTTTAATTTTTTTAATGAAATAAGTGGAAAGTAAACAGTAATTATATAAAAAAATATCTGAGATTGTTTCAATTTTTAGATTATTATCAAATATAAAATTAATGCATTTTACATTTTTATAAAAAACATTGATTCTTATCAATTCTTGTTTCAACATTAGTGTTAAATGTTTTAATATTGCCTAAAATTTAGATAACACTTTTGTCATACAGGATGTCCCGAAATAAGCGTCAAATTTGAACACGCCATTAAAAGCAACAACTTTTGTCCAATATTTTTTTTGGAAAACTTCATAGTTTTTAAAATAATATGCTTTTTAAAAATTTGTTGTCACCCGCCGCAACTGAAATCGATTGAATAATAAACAAAAAGATGAGGAATTAATTCGGTTACTACTGACACATAATACAATTTGTTATAAACCAGATCAAAATATGATCAAAAGGAAAAAAAGATAAACATTATGTTCATTAATAAGAAATCAACGTTGTTATTTCGGCAGGTTGATGCTTATTTTATTAAATAAAGTTACGACAAATGTTCAAAATGCCCTATGCGTTGAAAAATTTTCTTTCACTTGCTAGGTTTCCCGCATCATTGCGGTTATTCTGGCGGTATTCCCTATTCATTCTCGTAGTTCTTCAACCATTTCAAACGTCTTATAAATAAAAGTCACTCGGAATCAAATCTGGCGATCGGGCGGGCCAAAACTGGATCATTTCGTCCAATCCACCGTCCAGGAAAGTGCTGATTTAACCAATCTCGATCATCACCAGTCACAATGTTGTAAAGGAACTTTTTGTCCTTTTTAGCCTCCTTGATAATATCCTTCGAATGTTGAATTCTGAACAATTCCAATTTCCAAATGCCATTGTTCCGGTCTACTCTACTGATAATCTCGACCAATTTTGCTGTAAAGTCAGCTTGCTAGTGCTAGTTTCAGGATTATTTGCAATATTCTCCGAAAGTGCATCTTCTATGTTCGCAGTACGACTAAGGCGTTGTCAGCTATTGTTATGATGTTCATCTTTAAAAGTTCCGTAATCCCGAAGTTCTTGAACGACACCAACAATTGTACCCCTGTTTAGTATGGGACAATTCGGGAAACGATGCACAATCACAACTGTTAATACCTACAGGTTCGGAAAGTACCGATGGTCCATCTGCCGTTACGTGAGAGCGATAAAGTAAGACATATAAATCCATGCGATAGAGAAGGATGGCTATAATGAAGGCGTCTCATAGTCACCGCCCGTTTCGCCCTTCCACAAATAAGATCCACTTCTTATTTGTGGAGTTTTCTTTACGTAAATGAATTCAGCACAAAAAATTGATGAAAGTGTGAAAGTGTTTATTTATTGGCCCTATTTATCTAAGTTTAGGTTGTTTCACGTTTTCTTAAAAAAGTGAAATAGCAGGATAAAACTTTTTATAGGTTAGTTTGGAGAGCATCAACATAACCACATTTTGACGCCAAAAAGGGTTCGATATCTTTTTTTGTTATCAAGTTATTCGCAAATTAGTGAGCAAAAAGTAAATAATAATGATTGAGGATCACGACGCTAACGAAAAGACATTTAATTACCGAAACAAAATGCGATTTAGCGCTTATAAAAGAACCTACCTAAGCACGCAGCGAAGGTTAAATTCCTGTATTGAAAATAACGGTATGCATTTAGAGCGTTTATAGACTTACTTTTGTTAAAATTTGATTGTTCTTTTGTGACATAATATCAGTTTCTGTTAATATTGTTTATCCACGACTATTGTATAATGTACCCATTATACGTCTGTTTGCTCGACCTTAATAATACCCATTAATCACGGCAGTGATTAATGAGTCATTAATCACTACTGTCAGATGCTTCCTTAATTTAGCTATAATATTATATTGTTCTGCTACAAACAATCCGTTTTTAAAATTTTATCGTGTAAACCACTAAATATTTTCAATTCAGTGCTGTACATACAAAAAAAAAATTAAAAAAGTGAATTTTCCTAGACCGGATTCGAACCCGGGACCCGCGGTTGGAAGGGAAAGAGCATCTACACTGAGCCATCAGCGACTTCATTTGTGCGAGTCGTATATCTGTTTCTTAACATACCATATTTTTCGAAACATTTCAAAAAAAACTTCAACAAAAATATTTAGTAGTCGTGGATAAAGTATAGTATTCTACTCCCGTATAATGGGTATTATTCACTCGGTGATTTAGGCCACTCGCCTGCGGCTCGTGGCCGTAAACTTCACCTCGTGAATAATACCCATCATTATACGCTCGTTGAATAATATACTATTTTATTATTATTTCCAAGAATGTTATTGACTCACTCATTTGCGTGGGTTTAAGTAGGTTCTTTTATAAACGCATTTTGTTTCGGTAATAATTATCGCAGAATCACGAAATTCAAAATGGTGTATCCAATATGGCGGACAAGAAAATTGAAAATGTCTTCAAAATGCATGATTTTTTTTAATGGGGGTTTTTTGGGTCTATGATTACGAATCTGGACTCTAAATCACGAAATTCAAAATGGCGGATTCAATATGGCTGACAAAAAATTAAAATGTATTCAAAATGCATGAATTTTTGTGTATAGTAAAGTAAAAAAGAAAAATATAACAATTATATAAACGTGTATGTGTATATTGACTTCAGAATCGTGATTAGCGACCCAAAAAACAAAAAAACCCTCAACACAATTTGTGCATTTTGAAGACGTTTCAATTTTTTATACTCGCCAAAAGACACAAAAACCCCCAACACAAAAATTCGTGCATTTTGAAGACATTTAAATTTTTTGTCCGCCATATTGGATCCGCCATCTTGAATTTCGAGATTCTGAGACCAATTCGTGATCAGCGACCCAAAAACTCTTCATATGTAAGATTCATAGGAATTGAATGTCTTTCGCATCTCTAAGCTCTTTAAAGATTCCTCTAATAAGCGATGGTTTCCCCGGCATTTAAGGGGGTGGAGGTGGAAAGGAGGGTGAGGGGGTTGGTCCGTTTAGGGTGGAAACGATTCAGTACTGCTAGTAAGTACTTTTCAGCTAAAAATAAATTAGGCCAAAAACCGGTCTTAGGGGCCCTCCTCCTTTCAAACTTTATATTATATTCATCAATTTTTTGTGCTGAATTCATTTATGTAAAGAAAACTATATATAGCATTGCATTTAAAATTTTTGAGAAAAATCCATTAAACGACATTCTTTTGAAATAACGCCATCTATAGGTTTCCATATTGAGGTAAATAACGTTATGCCTTCACCACGAGATAAAGCATAAAAATACCTTTCCAACGAGGTATAACACTATGGGCTTTTGATGAGCCAATCCTTAAAAAAAATCATTTCTCTGATCAGACATTAGGGGCTTCCCCCACCCTTTCTGTCGAGAGATAGAACAAATTGTCAATAACAAAAGTTATGCGCAATGAATCCGACTATCCATATTTGTACTATTTAATAGGCCTGAATAGGAAACATTTCTGAGAAAAATTCAACTCTGTTTTGGTACGAACTTGAAAACTATTTCCAGCGACTTCTCTTGGTCGATGTATTAATCAAAATGTTTTTCCCGATGTTCTAGGGCATATACTTCCCCTGATATCGTACCTCGCCGACCTTAGCGGGACACCCTGTATGTGACATAAACTGTACAAAAACATTTCGCTGTTATAAATTTAGAAATAATTACAATTTTTACGTCGCCTCGTTAATGAATTGTTTTATATCAACTAATTTGTTTTTCTTTTCTTTTCCAGCGCCAGTTGCTTCAGCTTGCAGTAAGTAGAATTTACATTACGTTAGCGATAAGCTAGGGGAGGGGACCAGTGACGCGATCGAATTAATAATCGTACAAAGTCCGCGAATTTATTAGAGTCATCTTGCCAGCCGGTTCAATTTTCGATTGACCCGAGCGTTTTGGCTTGGCGTTGTCTCGGTTTCGATAGGTCGAGAATAACGTCTGTAGTTGAGCGTCATTTTCAAAAGATTAGAGTAGATTTGTTACAATCTAATCGCCGATAACGGGGAATAATAGTTTTGTTTTTGATTTGAGAGTAGATAACAGTAAGAGGGAAAATCCGTTGTTTTTTTTGTCTTTTCAGAAAAACGCCAGAAATATTTCTAGTAGCGATGTAAAATTATGTTGACGTAAATCGGAATGTTGAAAAATAATGCTTAAAAAACCATTAAATTATTGTTGTGGTAATATCTCATGAACGCTGTTAAAAAATTTTAAAAATTATTTAGAACAGGCACAATTTTTTTCCCATATACTTTTTAACACAGTATGGAGGGAGACTCCCCAGTATTTTGACCCGCTGAAGACGTGGGGTCATCAGAAATGTTTTATCGCGTCAGGACTGTTTCCTAACCTCAAAAAAAAAGCTCAAAATCAGTGGAAATCTTTATTTTTTTGTCAAAATAGCTAAGATTTTGAAATTAAATTACACAAACGTGTTAATAGGGTCAAAATAAAAACTTTTTATTCTTTTTTCTCTAAAATGCACCCTTAAGGAGTTATAGGCATTTTAATAATGCTCGAAATTAGTTAAAAATGGCTGTAACTGCATAAGGATACGTTTTAGAGAAAAAGGTGTGGGAAAAAAATGTTTTTATCGTGACCCTATTAACACGTCTGTGTAGTTTAATTTCAAAATGTTAATTATTTTAACAAAAAAATCGAGATTTACACTGATTGTGTACTTTTTTCGAGGTTAGACATAAATCCTGGTGTGATGTAGCATTTCTGATGACTCCATCGTCTTGAGCAGGTCAAAGTACCGGAGAGAGGTTAAAAAGTATATGAAAAAGAAAAAAACAAAATTGGGTATGGTCCTTCTGAAGTACATGTAACAAAACGCCCAGCAGTAAAATTTAATGAGTTTCGTGGGCGGCCCTTAAAAGGTTTTCTGCTAAAGGTAAAAAATAACACAGCCACACAAAAAAAAATTGTCTGTACTTTTCATGTGACATATGTTATTTGTCAGAATTGAGCTATCATATCTCAAGAATTTCCTAACCTCAAAAAACAGGCCAAAAATAGCAAAAATTCACGAAAAAGTGCTAGGAAAAATACAAAAAAATATTTTCTATATACAAATGTTCATTTATATGGTTAAGACCCCGCCAAACGTGAATCCGCGGTCAGAGTTGATGGTTCTTTTTCTAACCTAAAAAGACGGGTCAATTAAGGTGCCGAATATTCAAAAAATAACACATTCGCGCCAAATTTGGTATACGGAGGTTTTCAGGGTCGCTGATCACGTATCCGAGATCAGATTTACAAAATACGTTTCTAAAAGTTTAATCAATTACCTATGTACTTTAAGAAGGTTAAAACATGATTGGGTACTCAGGTTATAAAGTAAACAAAAATAGTACAAAATGAATTTCACAATTCTGAATTCGTAATCAGCGACCCCGAAAACCCCCGTATACCAAGTTTGACGCGAATGTGTTATTTTTTGAAAATTTGGTCGGCCATCTTGGATCCGCCATCTTGAATTTTGCAAAATTCACCTCGGATCAGCGACCCCGAAAACTCCCGCATACCAAATTTAGCGTGAATGGGTTATTTTTTGAAAATTTGGTCGGCCATCTTGGATCCGCCATCTTGAATTTTCAAATTCCGCATTGCTGCACCGCACTGCTGGGCAATTTGTCAACAACTGAAATTTATGGCCTAGTCACCCAGTGCAGCTGTGTTTGTGCGCGACCAGACCTATATACGGGTGTGACTAAATAAATGTGGGAACAAGTTTTTCAAATATTTCAATGCCGGGTTGTTGCCTAGCGACCGAATCTGGTACATGCTGCCTAGCTCTTTGGTCTTCAATTGAGATCGGAAAGATTATACCTAAGGTGTTTAATTGTTGAGGCGATTTTACCATGCCTATACCCTGTGAACAGTATCGCGTAAATCGAATTGTAGAATACCCGTTCATAGGATGTTGGTACACTTTTCAGTTTGCAGTTTTATTCAAATTGATTTTTTCTTTAATTGCGAAAATGTGAAGAGTTAAGATAATTCTGGAATGAGTGTAGTTTAATGGCGTTGATTCAAAATTCTACAGGGAGATCCAAAATTACTTTTTATTGTAAGAAATTGATCCTCCCAACCAATGACAACAACGAATCAGTGTCACCACCGTGAACTATGGTAGTGTAGCAATAAAAAATGCTAAGTGAGCGATACATAAAATATTTCTAGAGTAAAGGCTCATTCGCTTAACATTCACTTTTTGAGAATTTTCTTCCCATTTCTAAGAAATAATTAAAAAACAATTGACTGTTGCGTTTCGAAGATATGAACCAAACTTATATATTTTTTAATGAAACATTATTGTTTTTAAGTTTCCTTTCGTTTTGTGATTACAATAATATATACATGTCACATATTTACTTTGATAGTTTGCACAATATTTTGGTTTATTTACTGACAGCACAGTCAAGGTTGCCTTGGAATCACCGCGTGTGTGTACTTTCCGGTGTTAAATTTGCAAAACAAATCTTTAAATTCTCTATTAAAAAAAAATATCTTTAAAAATTTCCGCTAAACTATTAAGTTATTACAGTGGCAATATCTCATGAACGGTAATTCTATTCATTCCAGAGCAGAGTATAAGTTCAGTGGATGTTAACATCAAAGTATTGAATTAAAATTACAAGTTATATGATTGATATTATGGCAACTCATACAGAATTAAAGAAATGTACTTCAGATAGGGTTAATTTTCTTTTAATTATGGCTACTGTAATTGATGTAATTGTATCGCAAATATAAATTCTGTTCTAGTAGTAATAGGCTATTGATTATAGGATTTTTAAAGGAAATATGACGTTCAAGATATTTTATTATATGAATCGTTCAAAAACTTTTGAAAACGCATCATTTTGAAGGGAATCTCATCTAGTTTTTTTATATAGCAACTTTCTTTGCCTACTTCCACTAAAAAAAAAATTAGCGTCAAAAAAGTAAAAAATATCAAAAAATCTTATTTTTTGCTATTTTAAAATAGTTTATTAACGATTTTTTGCATAAAATTTTTCTTTCAAATCTTTTAAATAAGCGATTTCGATGGGAAATTCAATTCTCTACAAAATTTTTCCTATGAACTATACCGAAATTTTGCTTCGTTTTCGTGCTATATTTAAAAAACTGCAAAAGTGCATTTTCACCCCTATCCTCAATTTCAACCCTCTAATTTAATAGCACCCCATGGTTTTTTCATTTTTAATGACCCTTTGAACAAGTCATGTAATGAAAATTCTTGAACGTCTTATTTCTTTATTTTTTTTTTTTGTAAAAAAATGAGTAAGAAAACGTATAAGGGTATACGCGACGAAAATCGAAAAATTGGCTAATTGTAAGTTTGAGCGGCCATATATGAGTCAATTTTCATCAAAAAACACTTTACATCCTCTTATTTTGAAGTAAATTTTATATACTTTTTTGTTCTATGAGGCTATGCCTATACTTATTTGTACTCAAAAAAAACTAGAGGCAAAAAAGGAAAAAAAAATAAAAAAGTCGAATTTTTTGCTTTTTTTCAAATTGTTTATTAACGATTTTTTGCATAAAATTTCCCTTTTAAATTTTTTAAATAAGCCATTTCGATGGAAAATTCAATTCTGTAAATAATTTTTCCTATGAACTATAGCGAAATTTTGCTTCGTTTTCGAGCTGCAATTAGAAAACTGAAAGGGGTGCATTTTCACACCTATCTCCAATTTCCACCCTCTAATTTGACCCTTTGAACGATTCATGCATGAACGCCGTAGTTCCTTTCAACCCTGTTTTTTGGATATAATCAATAACCTTTAATATCTTATGAACAGTATACGTCATATTACATCTTTTAATTTTCGTTCATAGGATATTTAAAGAATTATATCGTATTTTTAAGTTCATTTTTAGGGGAAACTACCGTTCATGAGATATTATCACCACTGCTAATGTTAATTGTTTTTCTGTTGAAAAATTACAAACATATTTAATACATAAATATATGATAGCAGCCCATACAGAATTAAAAAAAATCTACTTAAAAAAATTTGATTACAGTAATTAGTGTAAGTTTGCACAAAATTCGACACATTGGAGTTTCTCATATTACCCGAAAATATAGAAAAAAATTGATTTAGACAGTACCAGCTTGATTTCCGAGAAAATTTAAATATTCAAACTACAAAAATTGCATAAATGTTGCAAGATGTACCCTTTAATTGATATGCAGCAAAAGTGACAATTTCAATCATTCGTATCGTAATAAAAAAAAATTGTTTGAACTTTTGCGAGTTTCTTTGAGATATTTTGAGGTTAAAAAACCGAAAATATCCTTAGTGTATTCGTTATTTCTAAAATTTGTCGGAAATCCTGAAATACGGAATTTTTTACCTTATTTCGAATATAAAATTTTGAAATTTGTCTCGCAGATTCTCAAACTAGAAACTTTAAGCTTCACTTTGCTTTTTTTCTCTACGACAATTTTTCGCGAAATTACAGGCTTTTGAAAATCACCTAAAAATTTACGATTTTTTTTATCCTTGTGACTAGTTTATGTGGAACACCTTGTACCTTGCCCAATTATTCGTGTTTGTAATATAAATTTAAATTCCGTCTAGTACCTACTAACTAATATCTTACGAACACTTAACACGTTGCTAATTTTTTTATTTTCTATTCATACAGGAACGAAATACTTGGAACCAATAACTAATTTAAAATAATTCATACTCCGAATATTTACCCTCGCATAACGAATGGGACATTAAATTG